ATTGAAACCTGAAACCAGATTCACCAAACATATTTTTAAATTAAAGTTATTTTTTTTAATATGCTTAATAAAAATTTGTTAACTTTTCCTTTTTTTTTTTTAAAGAATTAAGAGAAAACCACTTAAATCAGAGTGTTTACTATAACTACTGTGTTCAAATGCTTTTGTATTCAATAAACTTTAATCTCTCGAATATGTTTGATTGGATCAAAACTACTACACTGATTTTAACACTATTGGAAAGTAAAGCTAGGATAAATGAAAATTAAATATTTAATACATGTTCCCATCAAAGCATGGTTTCCAATCTTTGAATTTTTGCTGTTGATCAGTGCATCAAGCAAAACTATGAGATGTGTAATAAAATTAAGTTTAACATTAAGGTTTGAATGCTCTCACCTCAAAGACTCTATCCTTATGAGTTACAGAGGCCTCGGTGGCCGAGTAGACTAAGTAGACAAACTACTGTATCACTAGCCTGTCAACACTGAGGTTGTGAGTTCGAATCCAATCTTAATTGACTAGGATTGACAGTTTTCCTACCAAACGTTGGTATTTTTCTCCCGGCAATCCGGTTTCGCCCATCAATCAAAACTGACCGCCACGAAATAGAACAATAATGCTTAAAATAGCGTTAAAAACCAATATATCAATCAATTATTGAGTTGCAACCTGATTTTACAAACTTTAATGAATGGAATTTCACCAAAGAAATGTTTCATTTAAATCATGTAAACATCGAAGCACTAGCTTTTTTATAAAAATAATCATGAAGATGTGGTATGATTGCCAATTAGACAATTCTCCACCAGAGACCACATCACGTAGACGTAAGCAACTATGTGTCACTGTACTACCTTCAACAATGAGTCAAACTCCTTACCACGTAGCAAACGTCAAAATGTCAACTTGCCATTTTTCATCAGCAACAGTCCCTCTGCCCCATGGCTTTTAAATTTTTTCAATTGAGACGTTACACTAGTTGCGGAAGAACGACAAAAAAATCGACACTACATCAGATTTTCAGTCATGATTACCAATTGTCGGTGTCTCAACTCACTAGCCACGTGCTTGCGCGGTCTTAAATCTTTAGATACCATTACCGTCGTCTGATCTGTAATTTTACCGATTGCGGTATTTAAACTAAATATGAATCCGCATGGCTTGTGATGCATGTATAGCAGGAGACCCTGTCGACGCACCTGGTCTCTGCTTTTAGAGTTTGCCTCAGTTTTTCTTTGTTACCTTGATTTGACTCTTCATAATTGATTTACGAGATTTGAACTTCGTCTTGATTTGACTATTATTGGGAATAGGTATCTGCTATTAATACTTTTAAGTCCAAAGAAGATACGATGAAAATCATTCAAGAACTTAGTGTCATGCCTAAATATATAGTGAGGCATAATGATGAAGATAGGAACAAAAGTATTTTCAAGAGAGATTATCTGATAAGAAGCATTTAACTAGGCAAGGAATTTTTCAACGAAAAAGCAACAAAAACATTATATTTAAATAAGAAAATTTTAATCAGCTAATTCATTTTTGAAACATTAAAAAAGAATAAAAAATAGTCTATAAAATCTTGTATTGCAAACCATAATACTCGAATCAATTCACATAATGTATAATTTATGTATTTAATGAATATATAATTTCGGTTAAATATAATTTAATTCCTGTAATTGAACTGCAAACACCATAAATTACAACTAGTGTTTTAAACTTTGAGCATCTTAAATTGAGCTTAAAAAAAAAAAACAAACAAACACAAACATTTTTTTCATCTCTATGTTTTATCGATAGACATTTATTCAGTAACATTTGTTGATTGTCTAGTAGTTATTAACCGTAAAACAAATGCCTCACTGACACAAACAGATATATTTGGAACAATAATAAACTTCTTTAATTAATTATTTGTGATATAATTTTCCATTCAAATTTGCACGTTTTAACGCTTTAAAAAACCAGATGATATCTTTGGTTATTTCTTATGAAGCATCAATCTTGCAATTTGATTGGTTAATTACCCGGGTGTAAATAACACCCCACCTTAATTAACCCTGGGATAAAAAATATGCCAAATAAAAAAAAATAATGATAATAATTTTTAAATGCAAAAGTACAAAAAAAAAAAATTGAATAACTCGAGAACCATAAATAACTCACTACCAAAATTCAAATTATGTCTGCGTGTTTAGTTTCCTAGCATTGTGTATGCGTTTCATAAAATTAAAAAAAAAAGTTAGAGTGCGGAAACGACAATAGAACGGACGGATAAACGGAAGGACGGACGGTCAAGGGTTACACCTAATGCCCCAATACATACGGCGGGGACCAAAAAAACAATACCTCAAAATTCCCAAAGAATCAAATTTTTCCAAAAATTAAAAAAAAAAATAATATTTGACAATATGCAACAACGTCAGTGTTAAAAATGTGTAGTGGAAGTTTCTTCAGAAGATTTTATTCAATTTTATTCCGGGGTATAACAGATAAGTAAACGAACGCTTCGTTAGAAATAAATTAGTTATCTTGGTGCAACCAGGGGTGTTCGGATTTTATTACTCCGGTGTAAAATTCTGTACACCCCTTATTACACAATGATAACTATATCATTCATTTTAAAGTGCAATCATACAGTGGTATGTCATATCCGTGGTTAAAAAAAAAACCCAATAAATTTACTTTGTCACAGTTTTACCTTAAGAAGTGTATATACTATCGAATGTTTCAAAATGTTATACAAAGGAACCGATCAGTTTATCGTGATAGCTCACGAATGACACATTTTCAACTCTCGTCAGTTGTTCCAATATTCTAAGTTTAAGTACGTTATTCTTTAAAATAAACTGCAAGTTTGTGAAATTCGCTTTTGCATATATACATGATATACTTGGAAATTCATAAATAACACGGGTTATCTTGATGTTTTGCCAAATAAATGAATCAAAAGCATTCATTAAAATGTCCATTTCAAATACAATACTGATAAATGAATTATGTCCCACAACCAAAGTCTACCATTTTAAATGCAAAATTGCTGAAACAATGGTAAGATTTACCTATTACGTAGTTTTTCGTTAACAGTTTTAGCATTTGATAAACAATGAATTGCACACGCATTTGTAAATCTATATAGTTCCTGCAGGTCATCGTATTCGTTTCTGCTTCAGATTTGATATGGTTATATGCAGACTTGTATCATATTTTCTATATGTATCATTAACCTAATTCTTAGATTAATTAAAAAGATTTTTGTAGGTTTAATCCTTTTGCTACTGAAATATACGATCTTGGAAAAGCAGAAGGTATCTGATTATATAAGGCATGTGTTTTAGTCTAAAACATTTAAATCTTGCAATTTATATGTAATGTCAAAGTTGTGATTTGCAATGATGCTATCATTTCAGTTAAAATGGACCTATCTTAAAATACCGACGCCCATGTAACATATTAACAATTTGTTCTGTTTAGAGTTTTGTTCTTATTTGCTTTCTTTTGCGTCTTTATTATTATTTGTCCATCTAATATCGTGTTGTCCTGTCACTCTAAGCATCCTCTCCAAATACGCAAAACTCAGAAATTGATCTTTTTAGATCATATTGATTGGACGGAAGACTCCCACTTTCTACATCAAGAGTGCTATGAGGAGGTGTAGTTGGAATAGGGTTGATTTTAATGGTTAACATTTCCATTATGGTACCGCATAGACAATGAGGTTTCTCCGTTCAGTAAAAATCTTCCTGAGTCATCATTTTCTGGATTTTTTGTGAGCAGTTGAGGTAATTGTTCAACTGTAAAAAAATTCTGATATTGTTACAAAATTAATTTAAATTTTTTTTTTTATATAATCTTCAAATATAAAACCATTCTTAAATTTGAACGTATTATATGGATGAGGCATCATCATATAGCGGATTGGACAAAGTTGCTTAACTTTATTCAGCCATCAGTGTTAATCAGATGTTGGTTCCTGTTATTTGAAATGGCTTCTTTAAAAAATCAATATAATTTTGCAATAACATTAAAATCTTTATTTTTTTCAGCCTTTACGCTACCATTCCTTGGTCTACTTTGTACGAGCTACAAGCTTTTCTAATATGAACGTGATAATTGTATAATAATTTGAATCGTATTAACGAATTTCTTATATACGTCTACTAAAAATGAATACCGATGCCAACACAAGCTTTATCAAAGACGACGAAAGCACTCGACAATTCGAGTACTGCTTCACATCTAAGTATTTTGCATGAAATTGACACAGACTGACCTCAAACTAGGACCTATGGCAAAACTGATAATTTCCCATTTCTCAGAAGTTACATACCCTTTGTCCTATTTTTGACGTTTATCTATCTGATTTGAAACGCCAAGCAAGTACAGGTTACAGTTATGCGGACTTCATTAACTGTGTTGGGCTACCAAGGAAAAAACATCTCCAACAAATTTAGTAAGAAGAACGACTGAAATCGACACTACACCGTTTTTACGTTCGCCATCAAGAACGAGTTTACGATAGAATGATTTTAGTCCCAACACACCAGAGACATGTTTTACAGGTCTTGGATCAGATCTGTAAAATTACGTATAAAGTGTTGTCTTTATTGGGACATTTCTTAGAATCAAGATTGGAATGACGGGTGATGCATGGGTTTTAGGATACACCAATCCTTTCATTGAACCAAATTGCATTCCCTTGATTTGTAGACGTACCAGTTTTGAAATCAATAAACTACTGTTGCATATCCTTTGATCTATGACTCTCTTTACCTTTTCTTACATGTCTACATGACCAAATAGGACGGTTTGAAAGAACAGTTATTTTTGCAGAACAGAGGATAGAAAATAGTCACTGAAAGAATCTAAACAGATGCTGCAACGTTCATACACTTATATACCTCAGACGTTACCTGAATAGTTAAACTTTATTGTTGCAATAGTGGGACCCATTTATATGGGCCTTTGGTTTCCTCTGCCTCTTTTTTACTTACCATGAACCTGAGCTTCTACCCTTGTTGTTGGCCTATGTACAATTGGTCTCATGTCAGTTTGTTCACCTAAATATTAAAATAACATGTAGTAACCGATAGTTTTATTACGAATGTTTGCTACTACATTTGACTGCAGGTTATTTGTGAATATGCACAATGTGGGAGATATTCATCTTTCTAATATATACATCATGGTGCGAACTATATGCACATTCTAATTTTCATAGCTCACAGTTGTTATTACAGTCTTTGATTTTATCTTGATTTTAGATCCAAAGAACTATACTTTTAATTTAATTTAAGTACTTTCAAAACCTGTAAGTAATTTTTCCCTGAGCGGCAATATTACTCCAATAGCCGACGTTGCCTTAACAAACTTCCTGTAGAAGCTAGCACATTTGAGCTTGCTTTCCTAATTGAGGTGGAATGTTATTTCCTTGTTTAAGTTTGTGGTCATTCTATTGGTAGCTAGACTGTGCATGTTTTTTCTGTTTTGGTTTTGTTTTGTTTTGTGGGCAATGATCGACAAAGTCATAGAAGAAGATTTGTGCGCAAGTAAAACTATTTTTTTCAACCACATTGTGTGTTTGTACCAAGTCAGACCATGTATTGTTAACTGTTGGGTGCTTTTTGGTCATTCACATTTGTATTCTTGGAAGATAGTTGGTATGGTATGTTGTATTATCCAATCTGTTAGGCTAATATTTTAATGTATTATTTATGTGTGTATTATTTATCTTATAGTTTACTGTCCATATACTTTTATAAAATTCGTTAAAATGTTACTCCTGAAATACACATCGCTCTGTTCAACTGACCTTGCATGTCCGTAACTGCTAGTAGTCCTTTGTTAATGTATGTATCATTGTCATTTGCTTAGTTTCTTTTGTTACCTTTTCTGACATCGGACTCTGACTTCTTTTAAACTGAGTTTTACTGTGCGTATTGATGTGTGTTTGTTTATTCGACATTGGCTAGAGGTATAGAGGGAGGGTTGAGATCTCACAAAACATGTTTAACCCCACCGCATTTTTGCGCCTGTCCCAAGTCAGGAGCCTTTGGCTTTTGTTAGTCTTGTATTTCTTTTAAATTTTTGTTCATTTATATGTTTTGGAGTTTAGTGTGAGGTCCATTGTCATTAAACTAGTACACATTTTTGTTTAGGGGCCAGCTGAAACCCGCCTCCGGCTGTGGAATTTTCTCGCTGTATTGAAGACCCATTGGTTGCCTTCAGCTGTTTTCTGCTCTTTGGTCGGGTTGTTGTCTTTTTGACACATTCCCTATTTCCATTCTCAATTTTATTGTTCATAATGAATAAAGTTACAAATTAGAAACTGATATGACAACTTGGCCTGCTTCAAACAAATTGATTGTGTTTAACTGCCAAATATCAAGTAAAATATGGTTCATGCATAAAACAGGAGATGCATTATACATTAGTAGTCTAGTGAATTGACATGAAATGCCAAAATACAGCAGTACATATTGAAATGTTGTACTTTCAAAAATCGACTCACCTTGAGGCTGTTGTGCAGACAATATGTGGAATTCAGTTGCTGGTGCCCCACCTTCAGCTCTTGACAAGAGATTGTCATCATTACTATCTTCTGGTTCCTTAACAAATGTTTCATCATCATCAACAGGGTCAGCTTTAGATTTTTTATCACGTTCAACATCGCCACCATAAAAATGAGTAGTTGCGATTTCGATGGTTCCTGAAACTTAATAAACATTCTATATGAATGAAGCTATTTTTAGGTGGATAGACAGTGTATACGTTTATTCATACTGATATATTTTTGTTCTGAAAATAAAGTATGTACAATCATTATTCAAAGCCTGGGTCATTGTATTTAATTTGTACTAGTTATGTATAGATGATGTGAGGCAAAACCATTTTATTTTTGTAGAGTACAAAACCAAGTTGTAGGGAAATTCTGCTGATCAGTCGCTTTCAGAAATTAAAAAAAAAGTAAAAATTAAAAACTGAAGGGATTTACATATTCTGGTTTTTTTGTGTAAAATTTATTTTGATTTGCAGTAATATTCAAAATAAATAACGCCCCTGTATTGAAAACTTTTATACAAAACTTATTTCTTGTAGCAAAAGCATATATACTTTGAAAATACGAAAGTTGTTAATTGCAACATATTTTCCAATACATCTAGGAAGACTTTAAAATGTTTTCAAAAATTGCATATTGATGTAAATAATGAAAATAATCATGTAATCTCAGCAATTTTAAAAAGATATGAAACCGACTTACGAAACAAGAAGCAAATCCATGATGACTGTCCCAATAGATCTCACTCGACGTGATTCATAGTTTTAAAAAGTCTAACTAATTCATTTTAATGTTTATAACAGTCAGATCCAATTACCAAACATTCCTCATACTTACGCGATTCATCTTCTTTTGTATGGTTCTTATTCAATGGGGTTGATTCTCCTCTTTCCGTTATGCAAATATTTTCTAAGCGAAAATAAATAAAAGAATAAACATATTCTTCAGTCGTATGACTGTTTGATTAATGTAATACAAATATAATAGAAAAACATAATATTAGTGTTTCAATTTTCGTGTTAGATCTTGTGCTTTTAACTAGATGGCCAGTTAAAAATAGAAGTAATAAATACATAAAGATAATTTTATTAAGCTAACAGACAGGGAAGCTTAGTTGTAGAAATAACCCTTGTCACGTCCTTAAATGAACTATGCATCACAATGATAAAGAAATAACGTAACAAGATACCATACCTGCTTGTTGTTTTCCCTGTATTTTCTTGTAGATCTTGTAGATGACAACAATGACAATTATCAACAGAATACAACCAATGGATATACTGAAATTACAAATTTAAACATAAAATTTTGTGAATCGCTTTTTTGCATTTTTTATTCCAATGGTTTATTGCCATTAAACAAACGACTAGTAATAATTATGGAAATTAGCCATTAGTAAATAGTTGAGCAGAAATCGTTAATACTTCCAGAGCACATGAGTCTACTCTGGTTTTTGGTTAGTTTCGTGTTGCTCAATCATAGATTTCTGTGAAGTGTATAGCAAACTGCCGTTCACGTACTTTTTCATTTTGTTGTAGTGCTGTATATCATCGACTCATGGGCTTCGATAAACATGTTGGTATTTTCTGCCTTCTTTATAGTTGTCTGTCGAGATGATATTTTTATTTCAGTTTCATGATTGTGTTATTACTTTAATTTCTAAATCGGTCTTGTTATTGTTTCTTTCAATCCTCTATGTCTCTATTTGCATTATTACCAATAATGATCATACCAGATCATCAGATGTACCAATAGCAATTTGACTTTGTCCAAATAACGTTTAAATTTATACGTCTGATTTCTAAACGTGTAATCTTTAAAATAGCGCTTCGGACGCATGACATTTATAAAATGTTGTTTTCGTTTTTTGAGTAAGTCATACAATCCCTCTATAAAATGCTCTTGCAACTACCAATGATTAACCATTTTTTTTTATATAAAGTCTCAACTGATGAAGAAGTGTTAAAATAAGGCTTCAATTATTCCGTTTATTTGCCAACGAGACAACCACTCACCAATTCATAACATATTAGTTTCTTCTTTTCTTTATAAAAAAAAAGTACTCAGATGTCTTTAGAATATATTGTTATATCGTGCGGTAGAATTTTTAGAACATTTTGGTTGGCTTTTAATAATATTAATGTTCAGTGGCACAAATCTATGCATAGCGTAGTACAATAAAATACATACCCAATGATAACTAAAACATCAAGCCCTGTAATATAATAAGATAAGAATATATATGTATCATTAAATAATAGTGTCAATTACATAAACTGCTCCTATTTATCGTCATATATTGGACCAATACTTTGAGCCGATGAGTATGTTGGAGTGTGAAGTCATTGAAAAAGAAATAAAATATTGTTTATGCAAATAGCTTAAAATCATTCACGTGAAACCTTTGAAGAAATTAAAAAATACATCATTCTATTCTCCTTGTAATTCAGTTCTAATATATAACGCTTTATGGTGTTTTAATACAACATTGACCGATACATTTGCACACACGTTAATAATGCTAAGAATATATTTCGTATATAACGGTCAAATTTAAATTTTGCTTGTTTGTTTTATCACATTAGAAGTTCAGTATGCTATAAGAAAATAAGTCATGCCAATTATGGTCCGAGTACACAGTTATTTCGTAGTGCATTTCATTTAGACAATAAATGAAAATTAAAAAAATCCCACCTGCGCTTTCTCAATAATATTTTTACAGTGTGTTGTACTACTTTTGGGACAAATTATATCAAAATTATAGAAAACTTCATCGGCTCTAACTCAAAATATGGACAATTTCATGTTAAGGGGGTCTTCAAATCTTTTGACAGCTTCCGAAGTGCTAATTTTTAACATTTTTCAGCTGGACCAAATCACTACTTTACTTTAAAATTCATGACCCAATTTTTTTTACAGTGTCATTTCACCCCCCTACTCACTATTTGAGTCATAAAACATGGAGAAATAAATTTGGAAGGGGTATAAAAAAAATCGACAAGTAACACACTGTCCACACTAGGGACTATATTCGTGTACAACGAAAATCAAAGGACGATAACTGTGTACCCGGACCTAATAGGGTGGAAAAAGTTGACCAATCTTAATGAAACTTGGTATGACTAAAGCTTATTAAATTATAAGACTGCTTACAAAGTTTCATGGCAATAGGATATATGTTATAGACAATATGACTAATTCTATATTCAACTTTGCGTGTTAAATTTAGACGTTAAAATTGAAAATTTTCAACTATCAACATTTGGGGCTTAAAAAATTAAAATATTGCAAAAAAATACTTTTGAAATGCCTTTACATATAATATATTATGTATTAAAAGCAATAGAGTACTCATTTGATTTATCAGACTTATCATAATTATTGAAAAGTCAAATTTATATGAGCCTGTGGCTAAAAACGGAGGTTTTCTAATGAAGGGGGGCCTTACATGAAGATGTAATATTTTCTAGCAATTTTAAATTTGTAAAGCTTTTTGGTTATAAATAATCCTTACATATGTATTTAATGTACTTTAAATGGAAAGAAAACTTACAAATAACATATCACATTAGTTTAAAAGGGTCTTAGGCCAAGTAAGACTGAAAATAATTTAGGGTCAATTTAGGCCGTATCACATATTTACATTTAAAAATGCATATTGAAGCTATAGGAAATAAAATTTTGTGTCCTTTCTATCATTTCTATACTCAGGTGACATGATACAATAAATCTGAGCACAAAAAGACTCTTGCATTCAACTTTTTTTGCAGACAGTATGGTCTGATACAAAGATTTTTCACTTTTTAGTGAAAAACATGCATGCAATTTTAGTCTCAACAGGCTTATATTTGAACCACTTGCTATCCTACAGAAGAAAAGAAAGATATTATGTGACATAAAACAGGTACAAAAGACATTGTTAAGTGCTTTTTATACAAATTTAGTGAGGTCTTTATAATGGACTTCAACTTTTATGTTCCAAGCTCCTCACATTTAACTTGATCCAAACAGGGCGTTAGACGAGGATCATATATACAACACATTTTGCACATATTGTCTGAGATAATCTTCTTTTCTGTAGATTCAGAGTTCACAAATGAGTAATACAACTGGATTGAAGCATAGAAACACAAATATTGACACATAAAAACCTGTAAGATAGAAAGTCAGAATGCCACTTATGCATCAAAATTGAAAAAGCTATGAAATGCTTATTTTGACCATAAAATGCCAAAATTGGTCATTTTTGCAGAAATTCCATCAAATAAAAGTTTAAATCCTTTAGTTTTATGCTATTTGATAAATTGACACCATCAAATCATTCAGGGAAGTTGCCAAAGTACAGATTCTATATTTCCTGATTTCACTTCTTAGGTCCGAGTACACAGTTATTTCGTAGTGCATTTCTTTTAGACAATAAATGAAAATTAAAAAAATCCCACCTGCGCTTTCTCAATAATATTTTTACAGTGTGTTGTACTACTTTTGCGACAAATTATATCAAAATTATAGAAAACTTCATCGGCTCTAACTCAAAATATGGACAATTTCATGTTAAGGGGGTCTTCAAATCTTTTGACAGCTTCCGAAGTGCTAATATTTAACATTTTTCAGCTGGACCAAATCACTACTTTACTTTAAAATTCATGACCCAATTTTTTTTTACAGTGTCATTTCACCCCCCTACTTACTATTTGAGTCATAAAACATGGAGAAATAAATTTGGAAGGGGTATACAAAAAATCGACAAGTAACACACTTTCCACACTAGGGACTATATTCGTGGACAACGAAAATCAAAGGACAATAACTGTGTACCCGAACCTTATGGCCAACTGACAGTTTTTAGACCGGCCAGTCATGTCCAAAATACTTTATGACTATCAGTTTCGGTTCTTTCACTTTTTAAAGAATATAAAGATGATATGATTACAATCGGTTAAAAGCGTTATTCTTTGTACAGTTTTTTCCTGTCCTACAAAGTTATTACTCAGACCAATGCGATATGGGGTTTGGAGTGTTTCAATCAAAGACATTTATTATGTCACCCAATCGACAATGTCGGGTGACATATTGCTTTTCCTCCGTTTTTTTGTTATAATTATTATTCTTCCAATGATTTTTGTCCGGAGCATTTAGGGGGTCAATCTTTATGAATGTTTACTATAATGGGACCATCATGTGAAATTGTGCACCTGACTTTGGAGTGTGCATGATGCCCCGTTGCCATGGAAACCGAAAAAATGTGAAACAATAAAATTTTGGAGTTTGGTAAATTAGTTTGGCATGCCTAAATTTAAAATCATTCAATTTTAATACAATGTTGGTGTCCACTATATACAGAGTTTGGATGATTTTCACTATCTTTGGAACTACACTGTTGCCATGGTAACTACATCAAAAATTTCAAAAATTTCAAAATGCTTAAAACTTGATCAAACTTAATATAAATGTTAACTGGCAAGTAAAGATGAGACTTTTGACTTTGGAATTTCCAAAATGGCCACCGTTACCATTTAAACTGCAAAAATGTGAAAAATTTCCAAATACCCCAAACTTACTGAAACTTTACAGGAATGTTAACCGGCATATATATATTTGGCATTTGATTTTGGAATTTTCAAAATGGGCGCCGTTACCATGGCAATGGGGGTGGGCAATAGCAATTCTTGTTTTAATTGACTTTACAATTGTTTGAACAAAGCATGCACAGATTCCCCGCGTACCGAACACCTTATCCCGACTTAAATCAGGTAAACATAGTAACACACATAGTAACACACATTATTCTGACTCTGTGCCAACCTTGAGATTATTTACTCCTGGATGTTCCTTGCACAGATGCTTAGCAGAAATATCAACCTTTAAAGTATCATTTGCTACGAGATATAAAAATATAAAATGTAAATTTTTTTTGTTCAAACATTAATGAAAGTGAAATAGCGAAATATCAATTTGCTTTTAGCAGCCTGTTTGGTTCAATTTTGTCAAGAGTTATTCACTTGCGTGCTTTGTACAAACAATTGAAAAGTCAATTAAAACTAGAATTGCTATTGCAAGCAATAGTGGATGTCACCCACCCCCATTGTCACGGTTTTGGCACCCATTTTGAAAATTCTAAAGATTATTTAGATGGAGTCCAGACTGCAATACACACGAAATGCTGATACATATTATGGAGTGCATGCATCGAAAATTGTTTATTTCAGACTTTTTATTTATAATTTGGATATCGTTATAGTATGTTATAAATCAAATATGATAATTTGAGTCAAATCGGTGAACATGAATTTGACAGCTAATGCCCCTTTAAGTCTTTAGTTTGACTCGGTCTTAGTTCGAGCAGGCGTGACTTTTCACATCAAAACTGTCTACTAAGAGACAACCAAGGCGTGCTTCTTTTAGATCCAAAATCATTTAAACTAATTATTTGAAGACAAAATCGGTCTTCTCAAGACCTAAGATTGGAAATTTATTGAACACAAATTGTCCAATTACATGAATTTAAAAAAAGAAAAAAAAAAACAAATGAATTTTCTATCTTGATGTTTAAATTTTATATTTTTGCATATATAAAAGGCTTCAAACAGGGTTGGAGGTTAAGACTGACTATTGCATTGAATGTATACTGGAAAGATCAATACAGCCTTGGTACTAGTCCGATTCTCGATCAAGTTAGTTCGAAGATATTTTGTTTGGAATGCAAATAGTTTGTCTATTTGTGGGTTTAGACATAATTCAGCAGAAACAAAATCCCTAAACCGGACTGGTTTAGACATGTATATAAGATGTTGTTTCTTTCATAAGGACAAATCGTAGGGGAACATGGGATGTTTGCTGCTTGAAAAGTATGTAATCCAAATGTTTTGCACTTGATGCGGAAATTTAATGGTAGAATTATTATTGCTTTTAACCAAATAGCTATTACATTTTGACCTAAATTGAACAACCAATGTTGGTAGACTAAAGCTCCGTGCCGTTTAAGAACAAAATAAATATCCATGTCAAGGTATAAACTTAGAAGCTAAAAAAATATTTAATAGAAATGTTTCGTGATAATAAGTAGAGACCTAGCTAGATCAGTATTAGATACTTCAAATACTTTGTCTAAAAAATATCTCACCATTGCTACTACCAGAATTGTAAGTTGTGGTAAAAGATTTCTCGGTTGTTATCCGCTGTATAACTGTTGTTACTTCAATACAAGTCCGATCTGACATAGTGTTGCCGTTATCGACAATTTGTCCAGAACGACAACTATTAGAAATAATTAAACAACGTCAGTCACACTGCTTACTATACCTTTGTTTACATATATTTTTTTGAATTGTTTTTGAATACAATATAGAGTGAATCCGACAGGCAAAAGCGTACCACATTTACGGAAACCCAAACATCCAGTTTGCCATGGTGGCTAGCTTCTGCAGATCTTTAATATCTACACTAGATAAGTCTATGCAAGAGTATTGTATTGATGTCATCTGTATAAGTCTTTGTTTGCTTTTTCTTAAATTATATACAGTAGAATTTAATGGTCCTGTACGTCACAAAAAATATCCTATACTATAGAAAGAAGGGGTATACAATAATATAGTGGGCTAAGTTACAGATAATGCATAATTTGTCTAATGATAACTGAATTGAAGTTTAGCTAGCTATAAAATCAGGTTCAATCCACCATTTTCTACATAAGAAAATGCCTGTACCAAGTCAGGAATATGACAGTTGTTATCCATTCGTTTGATGTGTTGGAGCTTATGATTTTGCCATTCGATTAGGACTAATATCTAGAAATTGACTATGAGGGTCGGTTGAAAACAAAACTTTACGACAAAAGAGATGACATCAGCTTCCCAATTGTGACCTTTTCATTTTTAAACCAAGAGTTCTAAATGGTGCAGTTGAAATCATCACTTCGTAAATTTTACGGACGCCATCACGAGTTGGTTGACCGTTATGGAATATCCGTTTCACAGATGATATCGGATATGTTCTTTATGTCGTAACTACAATCCCGTTCCCTTTTCACGAATGTGACCTACCGAATTAGATTATTTACCGGCTTTGTAATAACATGAGCAACACGACGGATGCCACATGTGGAGCAGGATCTGCTTACCCTTCCGGAGCACCTAAGATCACCCCCAGTTTTTGGTGGGGTTCGTGTTGCTGTTGTACCCCTATTTGTGACATTTTTACCTATTGTGTCTGTTTGTTTTGTTCACACATCGTTTTCAATATAATGGAATTTGATGCAACTGTCATACAAGTGAGAGGTTTAGCTAGCTTTAAAACCAGGTTTAATCCACCATTTTCTACATAAGAAAATGCCTGTACCAAGTCAGGAATATGACAGTTGTTATCCATTCGTTTGATGTGTTTGAGCTTTTGATTTTGACATTTGATAAGGGACTTTCCTTTTTGAGTTTTCCTCGGAGTTCAGTGTTTTTGTGATTTTACTTTTTTTCACACGTGTACCTACTGAAGGTTATTCCCGAACATGTGTTCTGTGCACGAATACCATACACCACTGCTAGTCGACTTCAGAGAACAGGGGTACTACTATTGATGTCATATTGGCAACATTAATAGATTTTTAATTTTCAGTTCTTAATATGTTTTTATTGTGCTAAAAGTAGGGTACGAACTCATTCAGACATAGTCTAAAATGGAGACTTGAATACTCATGAAGGTCTCGCACGGTCGTTAACCTTCAGTCTTTCGACCATTTTGCATGTTATTTGTATATTTAACTTTTTAAACTTTTGTTCATACGCGTACCTCATGTACCTAATGCATGTTATTTTAAAAACATGTGTCTTGCGCCCATAAATTATAACATTCATTGTTTTTACCTAAATGTACATTGGAAAATTAAAAATGGACTGTACTCACATGATTTTTCTTTTTTGTTTGCATAGATCGTTGCTATTGATATCTTTATAAAAGTTTTCTTTGCAAGATTCACAGAATCCTGTATCAAAAACACAAAATAGAATGAATATATAGAGCTTAAGGTAGATTTGGGGTCTAAATTTAATGTCATTGAGAATGGCTGCAAATGATTGTTCTACATTTTACTAACATTTGCTAATTTTATGCAGAAATAAATTGCGGAAACGTTAACTCAAATGAAAAAAAATTTAGTATAAATCAGATAATCGTTTCATATAGTCAAAATTTCGATACTGTATATAATTTTTGTGAAAGCACATTATAAGAGCTATCTTTTCGCTTGTCTTTTTTTATTCTATCGTTTAACATCGGAAAACTACTGTTGCTTCCATTCAATTTGTTGATTTTACTATTATAGTGTTTCTTATTCTAGTTGTCCTTAATCATCTTTTTATTAAAAAACTTACAAATTGAATAGGTAAAACAAATAACATAATTAATTTAGTGTACATTATATATATACCAGTTAAGGTGGCACGGTAGTACTTCCTGGCCTTTAGGGATAATGATAGCCTTTTTTTTAAATTTTCACCACTTTCTAACACTGCCCAAAATTCTACATACACAGTCAACTGATGTAATTTTATTATATTATTCAGAAATTAATTTGAATATGTATGATGCTTTTTTGCTATCTTTATATACTTAAGGCCACTAGTGCTTTCAGGTCTTTTGTGAATTTAAAATCTGAAAAAAATCTCAAAAATTCATTTTCACCTGTATGTAAAATTATTTATTATTTTTCTACACCTGATTCATCCTTCAGTTTGGGAAAGTATCTTCAGTAGATACTGTATTTTTTGTCCAATCACACTGTTCAGATACATCGACTTAAGTAGGGTACACAAAAGAGCAACCTAAATTCCGGAATGTAAATACTACTGTGCCACCTTCATTGACCTCGCTAGTGTTAAAAACTGAAAACAAAACTTTATAAATGTCATGATCAGTTACCTTGCTCGCTGAGTTCGATTCCGGGTTTATCAAACTTTATATCAGTTGGTTCACAGTTATCTAATCTTCTTATGTATCCTTCAGCTCGGTTACAAACACATTTACCAGAATCGTCCCGTATTTCTTCTATAAATAATCAAATATTGAAAATATTTCAAAGTCCCACTTGCCGTGGACGAAGAGCTTTCTCAGTCATTTTTCCTATGAATACTCATTCAAATGTTTGAAAGCTAAAGTATACTGTTTTCACCCTCATCCATGAACATAATTATCAATTGTAGACGTACTAAACTTGATAGAAATAATGCATAGATATTTTATAATGTTTGTATATCCTTCTGGTTGAAAGAAAACATGGCGTCTGTAGATTTCTCATTATGGTGGAAATCATTTGAATATATAAGAAACAATATTAATCTTCTCTGAACCTTTTATGCATAAACAGAAACCAAATTCACATTGAATTATACCAAACATAGCTTGATGCAAAATGATGTTACTGTCAAAAAACCATGTCCGTTCTTTTAAATCTGATTGGTCCATTGACCAAATATTATAGATTTTGTTTGCATTAATTTTTTTGTAGAAAATAGTTGTCTCTTCCAAATGTATTCACACTTTCGTAGGAATCATGCTTGCCATCAGGAACAGACAATGGTCTATTGTTGAAGACCGTATATTAATGTACTGAAAATGAAATGGACTCGTGGTTCGTCTACAGGGTTTTTGTTTTATGTTGTTTGTTTTCATATGTGTTAACTGTTTGGTCTTATATGATCTTGCCTTATATTACAATAATTTTATTTTTATTTTCTATATGTATGTAAAAGTTAAGATGAAAAATCAACTACTTCATTTATATGGTTTTAAGTTTAAAGCAATTATATGCACAGGATTTTTTGTTAATACACAGTTTTGATTTAGAAGAAAAACCGACACGGTTAGAAAATACAAATGATAACACCATTACAAACACAATTTCATTTTGATACTCTTGTCATGGTTAGAAATTACTTAAAATAACACCATTACAAACTCACTCCTAATCTAATATTCATGTACATGTCTTTAAATAAAACAAATCTATTTTATTTTTAGAAATTTTCCTATGATATTATAAACGTCACAAAAAATACGTCACTTTTTATAACGTTGATCCATTCATGTGATGCGCAGTTTATATTTTGTTTGTGGTGTCCTGGTGTGCTGTCGTAAATTCATGGGAGGTGTCCGTTGTTAATCTGCGGTTTACATGTTGTAATATACTATTATCTATGTATGTATTTCTCAGTGCTGAGTGTTCTTCCGTTTGTTTGTACTGTATTCCTGTCACGTAGTGTTGTCATTTATCGGTATTTTTAGCATTGCTATATAAGCGGGAAGTTTGGCTAGCCATAAAACCAGGTACAGTCCACCATTGTTTTCTTAAAATGTCCTGTACCAAGTCAGAAATATAGCAGTTTTTATCTACAGTCCGTTTCTATGTATGTTGGCGTTTGCTTTTGTTGTAGTTCAGTGTTTCTGTTGTTCCATTGTTTTCCTTTTATAGTTGATGTGTTTCCTTCGGTTTTAGTTTGACACCCGGATTTGTTTTTGCTTAATCGAATTATGATTATTGAACAGCGGTATACTACTGTTGCCTTTGTTTTTCTTGTTTCATTGTGCAATACGGTTGCAATCTCGTTAACGTTCGCCCACATTGCTTTATTTTTATTTTTAAAACAAACTCCTTATTCATAATTTTCTTAATGTTGCATATCCTCGCCCATGTAAATATTAACGTACCGTTAAATTAAATGAGGGATCAATTTGTGTCATAATGGTGGCATGTTTACTTTGTTTAAAACTTCTTTTCCAATTACCTTGCAAACAACGCCGAATTTCAACACATGGAGAACTTTTGAATCCACTAGTTGGATATACCCCACGCACATATTCGCCATCCGGGCATTGTTCACAGACATCAGTTCCATTTTGAGTTTGGCATGGTAAAAAGCCTTCGTCTAAAATACGTCCCTTGTATAATTAAAAATGTTCCTCCTTTTGTTCTTTAGTTTCAATCTTGATGCTTTTTACGCTACATAATTTTAATATTTTTTTTTTTTGGGGGGGGGGGAGCTTTTAATTTTTTTTTCTTTGTCATTTGGCACCCATTTCCGTTACTTTATTTCTATGAATAAAAAAAGGGAGTAGATTTCTTATACTTCTTATACTATTTCAGTGAAGATGCAGTAGGAGCTTGAATACATTCTTACACAATTAACCTCTTATATTAAAACCGAATAATACAATATTGCAGGTGGGAATTATCCTACAAATATAAAATAAGTCTTCGTGTAAATGATCATGTTAATGCTCAATGCAGAGTCAGTTGTTGGTTGTATGATCTGATGTTACGTCCAATTTTTATGGAATTCCTTTTATCCTTTTAATATATTATCAAAATAGTGATTAAAATTATGATTATAATATACAACACGTTAAAAGTTTTCATCTTATGGCAAACGGTATATTTTTTTCATTGAACTCTGAGTGAAGAAGACAAAGAAGAAGAAGAAAAAGAAGAAGAAGATGACACGAACATCAATGTTATTAAAATAATAATACCATCGCATTTCTACAATAAAGGGTGACACATATATGTAAACTATACACAGATACATATGTATTATGGCAATGTTAAGTAAAGTACACACGCATAAAAGTATTAGCTAATGTAAATAGAGTGTTGCAACTAAGAAGGATTACCTTCACACAGTGTCGTCCAGCAACATAATCCTTTTCGTAGTTTTTGACCTGTTAAACAAGGTGACACTAGCTGAGTAAATAAAGATGTTACCGCAAAAAACAATTGACAAATGTCTGCAATAAAAAGAATTGCCTCCTATGAAAAATGATCAAAACGTAAAAATTGAGTTAACACATTGTAAAGCCGTGATACAAATCTGTTAAAACGATGAAGCAAAGGCCCAGGAAATAGCTGTATTAATCAATACATTTTAATTCTAAAACGCTATCTCACATGTTAACAAACGTTAATTTTTGTAGTTCCCTTTTGTGCAGTTCGGTCTTGCCTTTCAAGTTAGAATACGATTTGTCTTTCGGAAAGAAAAGTGCTTATTTTACCATGATTTTAATGAAGATTCATACAAAATAAGTATATTGATGCTCAATTATGGCAATTAATTTCCTTAACATTTTAAAACAAAGTCACTATTGGTGACAACATACCGGAACCAATTTTGATTTGCCAAATTGTTTTCTGAAGGTCAGTTAATTATGTTCTTTGCAGTGACAATGGTGGCTAGTTCACAGCCTTTATGTAGGTTAGGGTAGGTGGCCAATAATTGCTTAAATCCGCTTTACCTGGACTTTGTTGAATAGTTATCTCATTGGTTAGCATACCATATCTACTTATTTTCATAGTTCTTAAAAACGCTCTTATTAGAAGAAGGAAGCGAAATCCATCAAATAACAGTATTACACACTACGTATAGAGGTTATCCGAAAGTAAATTAGGTGACGATAAAGAAAAAAAATTAGAACCGCATAGGAAAGGATATCAATACAAGAGGCTGTCAGAGTGACAGCAAACCGGATTTCCTGCAAAGGTCGAACCCTGAACAGTTGAGCAAGTATGGACACTACATTAGCTTAAAACAGCTCTGAATTCGAATTGTAATTTCATATTTGACACAGCATAGGTTTGTAACACAAAATGAATGTGGTCAAAGAACTGAATAATTTGAAATTGGACATTTCCCTATTATGGTCCAATTTCGAAAATCTAAGTATATTGTTAGAATCAGCATATCAAGGTACCCTAAGAATTTAATTTTTGATGAAATCAAACAAAAGTTTAATTTAGGACCCTTTGGACCTCAATGTGGACCAATTTGGTGAAGAAGCCCACAATCCAAAATCTCTAAATACATGGTTAGATTCAGCATTTCAAAGAACTCCATAAGTATAATTTTTGTTGAATCAAACAAAGTTTAATTTTGGACCCTGATTTGGACCAACTTGAAAACTGGGCCCAAAAATCTAATAGTTAGAAACAAGGTTTAGATTCCGCATTTGAAAGAACCATATATATATTTAATTTATGTGGAAATGAAAGTTTAATTTTATCCATATAATTTTCTGTTCAAAGGAAAATACTCAAGCTAAATAAATGTTAAACACATAGTTCTCTAAAATTATATATTATTTAATCACTAGAAAATAGTTCTCTAAAATTAGATATGATGTTATATATATTTATTTTCAAATTATAATCAAAAATATGATTTAACCACTAAAAATAGTTCTCTAAAATTAGATATGATGTTACACAACGTATATCTATTTTCAAAGTATAATCAAATATAATTAATAGTTCCAAATATTTTTTCTTTTATTTGTCACAAATTAATATAGATCTGCAACTTATCCATCAATGTCAACAACTTTATCTACACAATGTAACGTAATGACATATCCTGTAATAAAAATAAATTATTATCTAATTAAAGGAGTTCACTTCATCAAAAAAAAAAATTATATATAGCATTCAGAAAATTAGTTTATACAGAAAAACAAAGATACCTACCACAAAATTCTTCAAACAATTTACCAAAAGAAAAGAAAAAAAATCCAAAATGTCATTTATCATTAAAACAATGTCTTTTAAAAATCTTTTAAAAAATGAGTTATTTCCCTTTAAACAGAAATGGAGTAATCATTAGTATTTCATCAAAAAATTAATTCTTGGAAAGGGCTATAACTCAACAACGAGAAAAGCTAAAATCGTGAAAATTTAACTTGACCTTCATTAGGTCACAGGAAACAACATATCTTAATTTGACGGTAAACGGACACTGTTTGGCAGCCGAAAGCCTGGCCGCCCGCCCGCCGTACATCCCCAAATCAAAAACCAATTTTTCCTTCGAAAATCCGGTCAAAAGGCAATATGTGTATACGACAATGCGATAGCTACCTACATTCGTAACGACAATGATATAGCTTCCGACATGTGTAACGACAAACATAACCAAATGATATCAATGAGGCAACATAATGTCCTTAGGAAAAGACAAATGTCTATACATTGTATCAAGCTCTATATCATCCAAAGTTTATCAAATATGAATAAATTCAAAAGAATATTGCAAAGATCTAAATCCTTAATGGTGCGACAACCTTGTGAAGAGGTTAACATTTCGACGCCCTTTGTTTTATTCTTTTGTTTGGTGTGATCGCTTTCTCGTTGGCCTATATTACTGATTTACCTATTTTATTCATTGACTCAAAATAAGATTTGAATACATTTTATTATTAATTATATGACATAATTAAAGATAAAGAAATATTAGTGTTATCCCTCTTTATTTAGGACAGGTGACCTGACTCTTCTGTCCATTTAATAATGTTAATGTTTGTGTTCTGATCAAGCGTTTCCAATCAGCAACATAGTTATATGAAAGGACGAACGAAAGTTGTTATATTGTATATCTGTTTTGTTATGATTTATATGCCTGCCTTTGAGCCCTGTGGTCAGATTTATACATAAATTTAAATTTTTAATGTATTCTAACCAATTCAATTTGTATAAAACGTCTTCTGTTTTAGCATTTTTTTAAACTTTAGTGCAACTAGTTTTGCAACTGTATAAGTTAAATGCATAAGATAATATCGATAATAAATTGATATGATGTAATTAACTTCCCCTGACGTCCAAAGAGACTACATTATTCTTTTCATCAACAACAGTGAAAACTTTGTCAAAGGATAATGGATAGGTTACACTTGTATTTTCAAAATGATGATAAAATTCTAATATACAGTTGTCATGGTGGTAAATTTTGGTAAATTATTTCTACTATGTCAGTTGCAATTAAAAAAAACCAGAATAATATCTACATGGTAAAACTCACACACTATTTATGACACATATCATAGGGGTAAACTAAAAAATTCAATTAACGTTACTGTTATATTTGAAGTAGGGATGCTTCTTTTTCAATATTACATGTATCATATGTATTGGTTTTTTTCTGATAGGCTAGAAAATACAAAAAGATGGTTTATTATACAATGCATTTTTTCATCAAACTTTTCTTTTGGATCATACTTTATCACGATTGTCCTGTATATACATTAATAGAAAGAACCAGATTTGTCAAACCTAACTATAAACGGTGGTATGGTATGTAATTAAGTGTACATATGTAAACCTTTTCTTACTATTGGAAAGATTTTAAGGAAAATACATTTACATCAGATAAGGGTACATTTCTCAACTATTTTTCAATTAAAACTTTTCTAGTAAATAAAATGCTTGCAACTAAAATAATTCACATAAATTATAACCAAGCATTGTATGAGATTATAATTCGTTCTCAGTCCTTAAAGATAAAACAGAAATATAAGCAAATCATATATAAATAGATCACACATGCACATTGGATAAAGTTGAAAATAAAGAACATGTTACATCAGAACATGTAGACGAGCATGTAGAATGTTCCCTATACTTAAAATTGATGAAACTGATATGAATAAATGCTTCGAGCTCGGATAAAACATCAATATTGTATAGAAGTATGCATTATATGGGTCATTTTCAAACAAATGTTGAATATTCCGTACACCTATGCTAAAATTTTATTTCTAAAGGAAAATGCAGTTGTAAGTGTTTAAATGAAAGTTTGTAGAATTTATGAGTCGGAACATTAATAATAAACACGATTTAGATCGATTTTGATAAGAATTATAATATATTTAAGTCCGATTTTTTCGTAATTTATATGCGTACAGTGTCAGGGTAACACATTTCAAATGATTTTTTTTCATATTTTCTGATTGCCTTGATATCTACAAAAGGGACTTAGTTTTAGAATGTTAATAATAACTCTTATGAAAAATCGCAGCTTCTTTATTATTATATGAAGCATTTTTTTCTACAAATGAAATTTAATCAGCGTTCATGAAGTTCATGTCTATCCTGTTACAACTACTTAAATCAACGGTTTAATTATTCTCCCGATGAATATTGAACTTGTCAGTGTTGATTTCAAAATCGCAAAGTAACCTTAACTTTTAACACAGCACGTTTCTTGTATAACAGTGTAGAGAAAAAAAAATTCAAGACATTTAGTGAAAAAAATAGTGGGTACCTTTTTGTCATTTCTATGCTGTTACCAACATATTTATTAATTACACCAATATTATACTTGTAAAAAGTGCCATAACATGTTGGAAACCAAAATCACAACAGAAAAACATTATCACTTCATCAAGGGGAGTAGTTATTTCACAACAGCATTCAAAAAAATGAAGAAGTTTGTCTATCCTGTTATGTCTATTATGTTACTATGGTTGCTATGGTTATAGTAACAGGATAGACAATAACGTCTTTAAAAATTTGTTAATTACATATCGTTTTACACATAATTAAATGTTTCGTTCTTTGAACTCATCTAAAGGTCATAACGTCTTAATCTTCGCAATTTAGCATTTGCAGATGCAATACTGCTATCGGTTACAGGATAGACAAAAAGGGAAACAGGACAGAACTTAATATGGTGATATATCATTAAAGTACGTTCCTGTTACCAATAATATAAAGACAAAAGTAATCCAACATGCGAGGGAATTACTTGATGATTGGTTTATTAGAAAGAGAGAAAACATGCTGAACATTATTAATTGCTATCTTAGACTTGCATTACTGATGGTAATTTTTATAATCTTTGAAAACCAATTTGTAGAGGCATTTTTCAGTGCAGCATGGAAAATTGACAAATAATCTATCATTTTACAGAATGAAAATAGATAGAAAATTTTACTCTTGAAACCATCTTATTGGCTACGAAA